ACCATTGAAAACATGGCAGCCAGGGCACTCCCAGCTTCCGTCGGGTGGGTGGCTGCCAGTCTAGGGGCCTGAGGCTTCCCGGCCCAAGGAGGCTTCATGGCCCCCAGGACTGTGGGCTGTCTGTCACTTCCAGGCCGGCCCCTCAGGACCCCGTAAGAGATCACTGAAGAAGTCAGTGGGAAGATCAGGAGAGCCCGGTGGATTCTGCCGCCGGCCTCGGGATGAGGAAATCAAGGCAGATGGTCAGTGTGTGAGGCTAGATTTGAGCTCAGGTATTCCTGGTTCCAGGTCCTGTGCTCTGGGACATTGCCCAGATGTCGCCAAGAGGACTCCAGAGGAGTGGAATCAGTGACCTGAGCTGGGATCTGGAGGCCTTGGCGAGCTGCTGGCTTCCAGGGGGATGCGTGCAGCAGGATTGGTTCATCCTGGCCTTGTCCTGGCCCACAGTGGTGGCCGCTCGTCGAGAGCTGTGACTCCTCGCCTGCACCAGACGATGGCCCAAGCGTCAGGGGTTCATCAGTCATCCGTGTGCTGGTTTTTTGCCCTTCATGACTTTGGCTCCTCTCGCTGGCTCCCCACTCCCAGCCCCACATAGAGCCAACCTTTGTGACCAGTGTAGGGGTGGGGGGAGGGATAGACGCTTTGGGCCTTTCTGCAGACGTCTGTCTCCTTCCGTGCCCCTTGCCCCCGCCTTCCTACCTGGGCTGCTCGGGCCTGCTCCCTGTGTCGGTTGGGGTCCTGAAGTCTCTGGGCATTGTTCCCTGGGTGTTCCTGTGGGCTTTGTGTGCATGGGCTCCCCCGGGTTGACCATCCTGCTCTCTGAAGGCTGCTTCTTTGTTGTTCCCTTTTGGCCGATTCAGGCACCATCACGTGCCTCTCATTGTTATTAGCCATTGGCGAATGAGTGGACCTGGCTTTGTGGGGGAGGGGCGGCTTTCCTTGGAGTTATTGCTAGGGGGAGGCTATTCCTTAAACCTGCTGATTTTGGGGGAGAGCCTGGGGGGGCTTTCTTTGGAGTTATTGCTAGGGGGAGGCTATTCCTTAAACCTGCTGGTTTTGGGGGAGAGCCTGGGGGGGCTTTCTTTGGAGTTATTGCTAGGGGGAGGCTATTCCTTAAACCCGCTGGTTTTGGGGGAGAGCCTGGGCTGGCAAAGGCAGAAGATACTCAGACACTGAGAAGGCCCCAGTGGGACAGGAGCTTCCAGGCCTGGTGGGGGCATCTTAGGCAGCATCCTCTGGCTTTAGGGCAGTGGTGGGGAGTGTCCCAGGGGGACCCACAGGGGCTGGGCTCTGCCCCACCCAGAAGCCGCCCCTCCTTCCTGCACTCACATTCCTTTTTTTTTCTTTTAAAGGCAGTTTGGGTTAAGTGACTTGCCCAGTGTCACACAGCTAGTAAGTGTCAAGTGTTTGGTCTGAGGCTGGATTTGAAGTCAGGTCCTCCTGACTTCAGGGCTGGTACTCTATCCACTGTGCCACCTAGCTGCCCCCACATTCCCTTTTCTGAACTTACTGCTCTGAGGCTGACACCCCTTGGGGCCCCTTGACCCCTTCTGCTTCTACTCACATGCGACAAACAGAGCTTGTAATTACTTATCTCCTGCTGCCTGTAGACGAGCCCCTAAGAACCCTTCCCTGACCCCTCCAGCCACCCCCTCACCACTTCTGAGGCCTCTGACCCCCTCGCAGCCCCACTGAAACTGGCCTCTCCAAAGCTGCCAGTGACCTCTTAATGTCCAGACTTGATGGTCAGTGGGGCAGTCGGTCAACAAACATCAGTTAAGCAGCTGCTGTGTGCCAGGCACTGGACAAAGAAAGGTCAAACAAACAGAACCGGTGCCCGGTCTGGTATGGCAGCTGAGGCGCAAATAACCGCATGGAAACAAGGATCCCCTGGAGATGATGGACGGAGGAGAGACGGAGGCCAGCCGGGGAAGGGCAGGCGCCACCCCTCTGGACTTTCTTCTAATTCCCAAGTTCTGCCCGTCTGTTCTCAACTGCCAGGTCGCGTTTGTCATGCCCCAGACTCTGGCCCGGGCCCTCTTCCCTTTCATGATGACGTTCCCTCGCTCCAGGGGTTCCTGTGCCCAGGACGTCTCCCATCCTGCAGACATCTCGAATGCCACAGGCCCTGCCTCGTTACCCTGCCCCCCTCTCTACCCTTGGCTTTATTCTGGACTCTGCACCCCATGTAGTCATCCAGCAGCCACATCTTTCCCATCTCCTCTTCCTGCTTGTACTGCCACTAGCTGGGTTCAGGCCTCCCCTCTGTGTCTGCTTTCCACCCTTTCCTTCCCTTGTGACACATGCAGTGTCAGGCAAAGCAGATTCCTCCCGTTGCCTGTGTTCAGAATTCTGTAGCTCTTTCTGCCCTCGGGTCCATCACCTCTGTCACTGAGTGTGGCTGCTCCCGTTTCTGCCCTCATCAGCTCTTCCAGCTCTTCCCCCGCTTTCTCTGCAGCCACTCCTTGCCTGCTCTTAGAGCCCAGTGTATTCCATCGCATTCGTTTAGGCACACCTTCCCCTCCCTCCATCGAAGGCTCCCTTAGTCTCAGTCAGGTCTTTTCTGTGCACTGGGCACTGCGCTAAATGCTGGGAAGACGAAGAAAGGCAAAAGCAGCTTCTCTTCACAAAGAGCGCCTGAATCTTGGCCAGGGACGAGCTGCTGCTGCGGGGCCTTTTCCTCTGTCTTTGCTCTCTTTGGGGCCCGGGCTCAGTCATGGCTCTTGCCCTATCCCAGGCAGCTGGGGCAGTCACATGCGGAAGGTACATGGAGACGAGGGACCCTGTGGGGCACCTGTCCTATTGGAAGGACTGTCAGGGAAGATGTTCGGCGGGTTCCACGGGGTCCCTGTGGCTAGGTCTGGCACCCTCGGTTTGATGTGGCAGATTTAGGCTTCCTGGCAGTGAGAGCCTAGGCCTTGTTGGGAGGTCATTTGGCAGAGGCCCAGTGACCGCTCACCTGGCATGTACTGAGTGTGGGCTGCTTATCCTGGGAGGCCCTGTCCAGCTCTGAAACCGGGATCCTTTGGAGCTACAGATGCGTCATGGCTGTCATTCCTGGGCACTGCTGGGTGTGGGGCTGTGGATCCCTGGCTGGAAGCCAAGAAATGGAGGTTCCAGGCTTCTGAGGTGCTCCTTAACGTGCGTTTCGGAGGTTTTATGGACTATGGCAGGAGCTATGGTGGGGTGTGAGCTAGTGAGGAGAATGTCTGCAGAGGTCACCAGGTGATGGCTACGAGGCTAGATGATTAGAGTGTGGAAACTGGAGTGGGGTGCCGAGAATGTGCCCATCCTCCTCTGGGCCCTGAGTGGCTGGGGCTGGGGGGAGAAGGGAGTGGTGTCTTCCTGAGAGAGCAAGAGAACAAGGTTTCTTTTACAACATAGAGATAGATGATGAGTGTGTGTGTGTGTGCGCGCGCGCGAGATTGGGCTAGAAAGGCCCAAGTGGAGCACACCTGGGAGCAGCAGAGGGGATGACACCAGTGCTCGGTCAGAGCTTTGGGAGGAGGCTGAAGGGGCCGGTGGCCAGGACCAGCGGAGGGAGGGTCGGCTTCACCAAGGTGGCAGGGCAGGCTTGCTGGCATTTAGAGGTGTCCCAAAGGGGGCTCCTATATGGGGTTGAGTTCTTTGGGAGCAGAGGTCCTTGAGGGAGGCCAGCTGTGAGTCAGGTTTGGAGGCCCAGGCAGGGGCCTTTGTCCCCTGGAAGTTCCTAGTGCCCTGGGCAGCCGCCTCTCCTTCTTTCGTCAGGGCAATCCTCACTTTCCCCTTGTTGGTCCCCCAGACGTTCACAGGAGAGGGCGCTTATGGGCCAGTTTTGATCTTTGCCTGAAGAAGTCCAGAGCAGGTAAATGGAACTGCAGACAGGCCATTCTTTTTTTTTTTTTTTAGGCAATTGGAGTTAAGTGACTTGCCCAGGGTCACACAGCTAGTAAGTGTCAAGTGTTTGGTCTGAGGCTGGATTTGAAGTCAGGTCCTCCTGACTTCAGGGCCGGTGCTCTATCCACTGCACTACCTGGCTGCCCCAGGCCATTCTTTTTAATTGCCCACGTTTTTGGACTCCAGTGTTGGGAGTCCGGCTTATGAGTCCTGGCTTGCCCATAAGCACTGGCCTCTTGTGCTGGCCTGGGTCAACATTCACCAGGATGGTGGGGGTCTTTTGCTTAGAATTTGGGGCTTTGGAATTCACCCAAGGTTGCCTGGGACATGGGGACGCTCCCCTCATTCCCAGTCTTCCCCCTGTTGAGGGCAAGGAATGTCTGACTTGGTTGTATTTGAATCCCAAAGGCCTGGCTCAGTGCCTTAGTGAGTATTTATTAGGCACCTTCTGTGTGCAAGGATAGAAGGGTACAGTGGAAAGGCCCTGCCCTCAAGTAATTGGCATGCTGCTGGGGTTGAGGGGATGGTGCTCAGACAGACTGCTAAGCAGACCAAGCGAGCGCTGCCTGCCAAGGGGATCAGGGATGGCTTCCTGGAGGAGGCAGTGCTGAGCTGAAGCACCTGTTGATTGACTAAGAGGCTGAGCCGAGAGGTCTGAGGGCAGACTGGAACTGTGCCAGCCTTGGGCTTGAGGAGCCCCTGGATGTGGTTGTGCTTTGGAGGGGAGCTTGGCAACTGAGTGGAGCGTGGACTGGTGGGGGAGTTCCACGTCTGGCCTGGAGGCTGTCAAAATGAGGGGGGCGGCCACGGGAGTTGGGACGAGGTGGTGACATGCCCCAGACTGCTCATGCGCTTGGGGAGGTCTGGTGGTTGGGGGGGGCAAAGGGAGCAGGACCCTTCTTTCCCTGCCTCTGCCCCAGCAGAGTTCTCAGGCCCCACTGGACTCTTCCTTGGCCTCCTTGGTGTAAGTCTTTTGTGTCCGTTTCCAGAATTCACATTCACTTTGGAGCTTGTCGGAGTCGGGGGTGGGGGGAGGGAGCAGAGCGCTGCTCAGGAGAGCTAGCCCCTCCTAGGTGACCCTGCCTGAGCCCACGTGCCCACTCAGCTGGATCCCTTTTCTGCAGGGGCCCAGAAGACACCTGTTTCGAGTTTGGTGTTTTTCCTGCGATTCTTAGCTTTCCCCTGGACTATCCACTCAGCCCCCCGAAGATGAGGTTCACCTGTGAGATGTTCCACCCGAACAGTAAGTGAATTTGCTCTTTGTGTGGGGGATGAGGCCAAGAGTTCTCGGGGCTAGGAAGAGCTGCCTGTACTGTGTGTGACTGTAGGGTCCTGGACAGCTCCCTGTATCAAGGGGTGGGGAGGTGGGGAGGGTTGAGAGTGGCCAGAACCTTGGACCATGGAGAAAGTTCGAATTCCTGCTCTTCTGGAATCACTGCTTACTCTTTGTGGAAACTGAGGTGATGCCTCGGCTCACTAACCAGAAAATGTATGTGGAACAGTGCCCCCGCCTTTAAAAAAGCCCTCATTATTTATTTTTAGCTTCATTTTCCAATTTTGAGTTCCAGATGCTGTCTCCCTCCAGCCCCTCACCTCCTCACCTCCTGAGAAGGCAAACAATATATCGATTCTCCATGTGATACCATGTGACGTCATGTAAAACCTATTTCCATGTTGCAAAAAAAATTAGAAAGCAAGAAACATGAAGTTTAGCAGAGTCTGCATTCAGACTCCCCGAGTCCTTCTCTGGATGTGGACAGCCTTTTCCATAAGGGGACTTTGGGAGTTGGCTTAGATCCCTGCGTTGCCGAGAATTGCCCAGTCTATCGGATGGTCATTGCACAGTGTTCCCCTGGTTCTGCCCGTTGCCTTCTGCGTCAGTTCATGTAGGCCTTTCTGAGTCTGCCTGTTCCTCATTTCTTCGGGCACGCGTGCCACACCTTGTTCAGCCGCTCTCCAGTGGGTGGGCCCTCCTCCATTGCTAGGCCTTTGCCACCACAGAGTGAGCTGCTGCTGTCAGTATTGTTGTTCACGTAAGTCCTTTTCCTTTGCTCTCTTTGGAATGTGGACCTGGTAGTGGTGTTGCTGGCCAAAGGGTACGCATCATTTCAGACTTTCTGGGGCCTTGTTCCAAATTGCTCTCCAGAGTGGTTGGATTAGTTCACAACTCCACCAACAGTGCATCAGTGTCCCAGTTTTTTTTGTAGAATGAGGTCTTTTATGGGGATCATCCTGGTGTCGTGAAGCTCCAGTGCCCGGTGGAGTACATTCTCCAAGGGGAAGGTGTCTGCTGAAAGCCCTGGTGAGCCATTGGAGGGCATGGGGGTCTTTCCTCAGACTAGTGGAAGGCTAGAAGCTAGCAGAGCAGAGGAGGACAGTTTGTAATTTTGCTCGCCCCTTTCATGGCATCCCTTTCCCCTAGGTCACAGTGGGCAGGGACCAGGTGTGAGCCTGCAGTCAGGGCCAGCGCAGTCATTCCTTAGTTAGTTATGGCGGGAAGGTGTCCATGCCCTGAGGGGCGGGGCACAGGCTTCTCCTCTTTCCCAACCTCTGAGGCCGTGTTCCCAAGGAGAGGTGTTGACCCTGAGGGAGCCCGCCTGTTGCATTGACGGGGCCTGTTCCTCACCAGCCTTGAAATCCACAGGTGCACATACATACATGCATGAGCACAGAGACACATGGTCACGTGCACACAGCGTTGAGAGTCAGGAGTCCCAGATCCCTCTGGGAGGGAGCTCAGAGTCCATGGAATCCCCCCAGACAGGTGGCCGTGGGCGCCCCCTGACTTCTCGTCTTGGTTCCCTGGTCCTTGCTCATGGGGGCACGGAGAATCTGTGCGACAGCCCTGCCATTGTGTGTGTGTGTGTGCGCATGTGTGTGCGTGCGTATGTTTCTCTGTGCGTGTGTGCACGCGTGTGCATGTGTGTGTATATGTCTATGCATGTGTGAGTCCTCCTGGTTTTTGTCTTCAGGACAAACGTCTCGCTCCCTTCAGCAGATGCCTCCCTTGTGCCCTCGAGGCCCCCGAATCCCCTCGGAGGCCTGAGCTGTGCAGAGCATGGCCTGGGCCTGCCTGCTGTGGTTCTCTTCCAGCTGCTCCAGATCTTAGATTTCTTGGCTCCCACACCATGCTGCTGAACTTGTGGCCCACTCAGACCCAGAGATCTAGCTTTCATAGAGACCACTGGTTCTGGAATCAGGAAGACCTGAGTTCAGTCCAGCCGTGGACTCTTACTAGGTCACTTAATCACTGTTTGCTCCTGTTTCCTCATTTGTAAAATGGAACTGATTGCAGTGCTTGCCCGCCGGGCACAGACAAGACCGGTCTGAATGTGCGCTCTTGCCCTTCGCCCCTCCTTCAGTCTCTTTCGCCCAGCTCACTCCCTCTGCCAGTGTTGGCCTCACCATCAGGTGGGATCTGCGGACCTCTGAGTGCTGGCTTGTCACGGCCTCGGAGACCTTCTGACACGATGCTGAGCGTCAGGGAGTCCTTTGGGGAGGTATGGGGCGCAGATGGAGGCCTGGAGGCAGGCCTGTCGTCCCCTTGTCTGGGTGCCTGGTCTGCTCAGCGGGACTGGAGACAGTTTCTGCCTCTGCTCCTCCAGCCCTCCAGGGAGGGCCGCTGTGCCTGGGGGAGGGGGCCGGCTAAGCCCCGGCGCCTGTCCTCAGCTCTCCTTGCGCTGTGGTGGGCCCTTCCAGCGTCTTCCACTGTGGCGCCCTTTCCTGAGGTTGAGCTGCCGATGACTTTCCCGCACGTTCTCATCAGGGTCCCTGGCCCCCCAGACCCGTTTCCCAGTGGCAGTTTCTCCATTCTCTCCAGAGCTGCTTTTGGAGGATCAGAGAACGCAGAGCCCTGCAGGTCTTCTCTTTGAGCTCTCGGAAACCTGCTTCTCAGAAATCCGGCCGGCGCTCCCCCTTCAGTCGCCAGCCCTAGGATGGGGTGGCCGCTTCCCCCAGGCCCCCCAGGAAGGGGGGAAGGATTGGTACAGAGCACAGCTCGAGGAGCTGCGGAGCTGCAGAGGTGGGAGCACAGAGGCCGGCCAGCAGGTCAGAAGGGCTCAAGGCTGCTCCGATGACGGCTGTGACGGTCACCCGAGTGACTTCTTACCTCTGCCTCCTGGATTTCTTCATGGGAACATGCTGCATTTCAAAAACGGCACCCTCCCTCTTCTGCCAGCCTGTGGGCCATGTTCATGTGAAGGCTAAGATGTCATTTGCTTATTAAAAGACCCCTCCCTCTTCCACCTTCAGATCAATGCGGGGATGCATTTTCTTCCTCTCCTTCACCCCGTCACAACCCTAACTCTAACCCTAAATGCTTGAAAAGATGCAAAAACAGAACACATGCGGCATTCTTCTCACTAATCTTTGTTTTGGGAGGCAGCATCCTTTCATATAAAAATGGGATTTCTGTTAACATGTAATGGATTTCTTATTGCTGTTTTTAAATGAATTAAGTATTTTTAAAATGTTTCTGTTTGTAATACAGTAGATATTCATAGCTATAACTTATGTAAACAAGCACTTTCGGGGTGCCAAAAGGCTGCCCTGGGGAACCCTGGAGGAAGGAATGACCTCCCTGGCTCCCACTTCCATGTGTGATGTCTGTAATAATGCTAATTAGTGATAATGCTAATAGCTGGTGGTCATACAGTGCTTCCAAGTCTCCTCCTCTGAGGAGTATTGGTAGTATTGGTCCCATTTTACAGAAGAGGAAGTTGGGGCCCAAGGCAGGGGGCGACTCAGCCAATGAGAATCAGAGACGGGATTTGAATCTAGGACTTCCAGGCCTCCCCTCACTTCAGGATGGGGCTCCACTGAGGAAGCTGAATCCCTTGAGCTGTTTCCATAAAGACAATAGAGACTTTTAACAGAGTGGGGGAGGCTGCTCTGGCTGGGCTCCATGGGCTATGGGCTGCTGCCTGCATTGGTCAGGTCAGGGAAGGTCCTGAGGAACTCGTCTCCTTGGGCTCCCTGGCACGGCAGCATTTCTGGCTTTGGCTCCCTCCATGAGTCACCTCCTGGGACCCTTTCAGGGGAGATGCGGTGGTGGGGGGGAGTCGCGCTCCCTGGGCCTCTGCCAGCCCCCTCAGCCGCCTCTCTGACGGGCGTGACTCTGGGGACGTGCCTGGAGTCGGCCACAGCTGTGCAAACAGCAGCTGGTTTCTGCCCCTGGGCGCTGGCTCTGATCCTGCCGTGTGTCACCTCACCTGTGTTTGGGTCTGTTGACAGTTTACCCTGACGGAAGGGTTGCATCTCCATCCTGCACGCTCCCGGAGACGACCCCATGGGCTACGAGAGCAGTGCCGAGCGCTGGAGTCCTGTGCAGAGCGTGGAGAAGATCCTCCTGTCAGTAGTGAGCATGTTGGCAGGTAAGCAGGGCCGCCGCTGCGGGCCAGAGGTGTGGGCGCGCTGGCGAGGGGAGGAGGCCATGGACCCACCATCCGCGCCGAGGCTGCGGAGGAGGGCCGAGGAGGTCCTAGGATCCTGAGGCCTGAGGGGAGCCCATAGGGAGGGTGTGGATTTCCTGGGCTTCTGGGCATTCTCCCTCCTGGGCTCCTTGGGCCTCCTGTGAGGCTCCTGTGAGTGAGCAGCCCTGCATGAGAGTGGTGCACGCAGGTAGAGACTCTCAGGAGAGGCTCCCGAGGGTTCTTGCCAAGGCTTCCCAAAGCTCCTGCGTTGGCATCTGGAGGGCTCTGTGGTGGCTGCTTCACACCAAGGCCAAGTGCCTCCTGTGTGCCGGGCTCTGTCCCAAGCTCTGGGGAGACAGTGCTTAAAAACACAGACACAGGCTGACCCAAGGAGCCCCAGACTGATGGGGGAGGTACCAGGCGGGCTCACCTACTGATGAGATAGACACAGGACCCATTGGCAGTTTGCGGTGTGATTCGAATTCGGGGGTGGGCAAGGCTTCTTGTGACTGAGACTGGCAGGGAGCCTGTGAGCTCACCAGGAGGTGGGGGCCAGGAGGAGGCATTCTGGGCACCGGGGATGCCAGCCAGAGAGAGAGCCCTGGGGGCATCCCACCCAGGGCCAGTCACAAGGAGGGGTGCGCAGTAAAAGAGCCACTGCCTCGGGCTCCCCATGAGACCAGGTGTCCCTGGAGAATAGACCTCCCCCTCACTGGTGTGGAGGTGCCTGCAGACGGGGGAAGTTCCCTAACAAATGCTTAATCATGCTGAAAGCAAGGCTCCTGTCCCGTGTTTCTGGAATGCCTCTGGTGTTACAGGGCCTGGCTGGGGTGTGCTCCCCGTTCCCTGTTCTGCCCCCTCTCGGGGGACCCCTTTCTAGGGAGGCAGCCAGAGAGTTTCCCTGCCTTTGTCCTTCTCTTTCAGAGCCAAATGATGAGAGCGGTGCTAACGTGGACGCTTCCAAGATGTGGCGGGACGACCGCGAACAGTTTTATCGCATTGCCAAGCAGATCGTTCAGAAGTCCCTGGGGCTCTAGGACACGCCTTCCCTCCCCGGCCTTCCTTGTTTCTCCCTCCCCACCCCCCCATCATCAGCGGTTCCCCTGCAGCGTCCCCTCTTGTCCCCATGCTCAGCCCCTCGACGCTCCTTCCGTTGGAGGGGTGGCGGCTTCTGCTCTTAGGAGCATTCCTCGGATGGAAGGGTTGGACATCTGGTCCGCCCAGGCACTGCCCCGCCTTGATGCTGGTGAGAGGCCAGGCTGTCAGCTGCAGACAGGAACCGGAAGGAAGGGCTGGTGGCGGAAGCAGACTCCGGGCCCATTGATGCGTGTTGACATATGTGCCACGTGGGGAACATCTGCTGCGATCACATTCTGTCCTTACAATTTGACAAATACGTGTTTTTCTTATCATCTAGTGGAATGATCTTTTCAGCTGTGCATTGCTGTCAAACCCAGAATGTTTTTGGCAGTGGCCTTTCTTATCATGTGGGTCAGCGCCTGGGGTGGGGGAGTGCTATGAGGTGTGTGGAGTGGATTAATTAGGAAAAATCTTCGTCAGTCCGTCTTTAAAACCAAGAGGTGTTTGGGCAACATTTCTCACAGACTCTGATCTCTGCTGTGGTCAGCCGCAAATTCTGGCCAAGGTGCCTGTGGGGGTGCTGGGCTTTGCCCGGGCCTGCAGACTTGGAAGGCTCCCGGAATCCTCATGTGCCTGGGATGAGCCGAATGGCTCTGAAGCCTCTCTCCAAGGTCAGGTGGTGGAGAAGGAAGGCCCCAGCAGCCTGGCGCTCCTGTTGCTTCCTGGGATCTTGACCGCCTCAGGAGTCTGGAGCCAGAGCTGAGAGAGAGAGAATATAATCTAAGCAATAACAGCTCCATCACCTACAGAATCAGCTGCTTGGGTCTGCTTTTAGCAGACGACATTTTAAGTAGGAATTTCTATTTTTTAAATGCAAGAAATAGATTTGCATTCGCCTTATTTTCGTTTTTCCCTTCAGCTTCATGTCCCAGGGAGCTTCACTGAAACCCCTCCCCCAGTTTTATGGGATCAGATGCCATTGAAGGGTCAGAACTGGCCCATTGGAGACCCTGTTCTGTTTTCTGGAAGGGAATGTTAGAGGTTTGAAGTGAGCAGGTAGGGGTGGGGAGAGGGGAAGCATGGTGCCCAGCAAGTGGTGCTTGCAAGTGCCCCCACACTGGGTGGTTAGCACAGGGCGTGGGAGGCGTGAGGGCAGCTGAGCCTCGGAGTGCAGAGGCCCCATTGGGGGGAGGAGGGGGACTTCCGGGAGGAGCCAATAAAGTCCAAGGTGGCTTTGGAATTGAAAAACTTTTTCAGAATCAAGTATTTTTATTCATTTGTATTTATTTTTACAACCCCCCCTCCCCCATTCAGTTTCCTTATTTTATGGTGGGATTTAATTGCTTTGTTAAAAATAAAGTTATATCTTGACCCCCTGTGTAGAGGAGTGAGTGTCTTCTGTTTTTGCGTGCTCCTCCATGAAAGGGACACCAGTCAGTGGCTGGAGGGTGGCCGTCTGTGAGAGGACATGGGAGTCCCCCCCTCGGTGCCAGCTCTCCCCAGATGACGGAGCTCAGTGCAGCTCGGGACTTGTGGGGTTCTGTGGCGTGGGCCTCGACCCCTCTGCACAGGACTTGTTGAGGAAGCCTCGCCCTCCGTGTGGTGAACATCAGAGAGGCTCCCGGCCTGGCTTTGGGCCCGTCTTGGAGGCCCCTCTGGTTTGTCCTCTGCCCCTTGCACCTCCCAGGAGCTCTTGAAGGAAATGCTCACGGGCCACGTGCCCTGTCTGGTGAGGGCTCCTCTGGAGCTGCGATGAGGACACGGTCGCCTTCCTTCTGTTAGGGGACCAGAGAACGTGCTTTGTCCGTTGCCCCAAGTGCCTTAGTGGTCACCAGCGGATGGCGCCTTGAATGTAGTTCTTGTGGTCAAATGGTGGGCAGCCGGGTTGGGTGGCCCATCTCATTTGTGTGGATCTGGTTGGCGCCAGCCCTGTTCTTGGGGGCACCAGCTGTGTTTTGGTTCGGGGTTCTCTGGTGGCTTTTCTGGGATGATCTTGGGGGAAAGGAGGAAAGGCAGATAAGCAGATGCCTTCCCTAAATGGTGGTGGGTATTAGAGGGAGGAAGCTTCCACGCGGGGCAGCCCGTGGGGCCAGGAGCAGGCTGTCCATGTCCACACGCCGCCAGCATGAAGGCTGTTGGCACTTCCTGTTTGGGAGAGATTTCCTGGAGTCGGGCGGGCCAGGGACGCTGGGCTGAGAAGGGAAGACTTGTTTCCTGTGGCTTTGGGGAACATCCCTAAACATCTCCTGTTTGTTTTATTTGCATTTGGCACCTTCCTTCTCTTTGATCATTCCTCCCTTTTGAGTTTTGTACCTTGAAGAAAATACATTTAGGCTCGGTCCCCAGGGAGTTCTGTATGATTAACCCTGGAGTCAAGTGCTAGAAATCGGGCTCTGAGCGCTGCGTCGACCGCCCTTCACAAATGTGTCTGACCCAGCTGCGGGATACGTAGGCCTTGATTCACATAGTTCTCTTTCCTTCCAGCTTTGTTTTTCTTAGGGCCTAAAATACAGGAGGTAGAGTTTGTGTCTGTGAAGACTCCCCACCACCTCGCCTTGTGAGAGAGCATGTCCTTGAAAAAAGGCCCCCTGTTTATTTTCAAGAGCATGGGGGCAAGGTGGCTTGTCTTGCGTGACTCCCACTCCACAGGGGATGTCCCCAGCTTTCATTTTGTGGATCTACATTTTTTGTTTAACTGGAGGTTTTCAGTCTTTTCTCACTGCTTTCTGGTGTGATCACGTTCTCCGTGGCCACAGTCCCTTGGGTCTCTGGGATTCCTGTGTGGCAAGAAGCATGAATTGCGGATCAGGAATCTCAGTGATGGAGGCGGGGGATGGGACGTCGGGCTCAGGGTACAACCAGGAGACGGGTCTGGGTGGATGTGGTACATTCTGTGAGAGGCATGAAGTAAGGTCAGAATGCGAGGGAGGAGTCAGACTGTGGCTAAGTGCCAGATTTGGGAGTGTGCATTTTTTCCCCTAACGGCAGCAGAGGGCCACTACCGATGATTTTTGTTTTTGTTGTTTTTTTTTAAGGCAGTGGGGTTAAGTGACTTGCACAGGGTCACACAGCTAGGAAGTGTTAAGTATTTGGTTTGAGGCCGGATTTGAACTCAGCTCCTCCCAACTTCAGGACCAGAGCTTGCCTGGGAAGGACACTGCAGGTCCCCGGGCTCCTATGGGTTCTACTGTGCAGCTGTCATGGCATGGGGCCTGTGTAGAGAACGCTGACAGCTTCCCTGTTTGCTGGGGCCTGGTTTTGACATTTTGCTCTCCGGCTGTGATGTCTAAGAAGCTGAACGGTCCCATATAGATGGAGGGATGGGAGTGTCCTTGTCCACCTGCCCCCTGGAGGGATGGGAGCTTTCGCAGCAGATAATAGCTGGAAGATTGCCCCCACCCAGATTCGGGGCCAGTGATGGCAAGTGCAGGGTCCAGCAGCTGGGTGCCGGTGAGAACTGCCCCAGACCTCATCACTGGCAGGGCTGCTCAGCCCAGCAGTGAGTGCCCAGCCTCCCACCCTGAAGCCGCTGCTCCTCACGGACTTCCCCCTTGCCCTTCTCATCTCCCCACTCCTGGGCCACCCTCCCTCTGCCCACTGACTCAGCCCAGTGCTTTCATCTTGCCCCTGCCTCACCCTTTCCTGTATTAGTGGGAGGCAGGGAAAAATCCCATCTCAGCCTCAGAGGAGGCTGTGTCTGACTCCAGGTCAAGCTCTTAAGTGACAGTTTGGATTTGAACCCAAGCCTTGGAAAAAACTCCCAGTGAGGTGCCTTCCGTCTGCTTTGGGTGGCAGCCACCATCTTCCTTTCTTCCCTGAAATATGCTCTTCTTTCTGTCAGTCCGAGCCAGCCTCACTTCACTTGGCCCAGCTGACCCTTTTCAGTGGACTGATACATTTGGGGCTCAGACTCCCAGCCTCCACAAACACACAGGATACAATAAACACCTCCAGGCCCATTTCTTGGAGCCAGAGGGAAGGAAAAGACAGAGAGCGAGGGACAGAGAGTCCTCCTTCACTCACCAGCCCAGTTAATGACGTCCTCCCTGCCCACTGGACCCAGCTGGTCGGAGTGGCCAGAAAGAGTGGCTGACACAGGGCAGTGGGAGAGGAGCCAATCAGCACATACAGAGAGATTACCATGATAGGCAACGGCCCTCACGGGCGCCTCCATGATAGATGAGCTGGCAGTGCCTGGCCCGGCCTGTCGGATGCTCTTTGGACTCTGACCCCAGGCTCTTCTTCAGTCCTCCTCCATGTGATTTCCTAAGGCTCGGCTCTGCCCATGTCACCCCTGGCTTCATGAGCTCCAGGGGCTGCTGCCTCCAGGATCAAACCCCATCCCCTCTGTCCGCCCTTCAGAGTTCTTCACTGGCCGGAGGCTCCCAGCCACCTCTCCAGACCCACTCACATGATTTCCTTTCATGTCCCTGGCCTCTGTGCAGTTCCCCACACCCCCTCCTGCCTTCTAGGCTCAGCGAGGCTGCCATCATTCCTCTTCCTCATTACTTTATAGTGATTACCTGGTACGGATTAGGGCAGCTAGGGGGCTCCACAGAGCTTGACCCGCCTCGGGAAAACTCATCTTGCTGAGTCCCAGTGTCTCAGACACTTACTAGATGTGTGACCCTGGGCAAGTCCCTTCACCCTGTTTGTCTCCGTGTCCTCGCTGAGAGAAGGAAGTGGCAAGCCACTCCAGTATCTGCCGAGAAAACCCCAGATGGGGTCCCCGAGCTTCGGACGTGGGCGGGAAAAATAAGGTGCTGGTCTCCTTTCGTGAGACCAGCATCGCTTCTCTTTCCCTTTGTGTCTCCAGGGCTCGGCACAATGCCGGGCACAGGAGAGGGGGGCGACAAAGGATTGTTGGGTTGGGGAGGGGGAATGAGTGTTTGCTCTGGCTTTACCAATACCAATCGGAACAGAGAAGCCGAGAAGCCAAAAGTAGCCAGGTCGAGAGTAGCTCTTTATTAATTCCTGCTGGAGCTGAGAAGATGGGGCAATGCCAAGGGTCTGTGGGAGAAAAGGAGGTCACAAAGGAGCCAGCCCCGCATACATGGGCATCTCTACGTCCCAGAGGATTCAGGTCCACCATGAGGCAACCCTGGAAGGTCAGCTTAGTGGAGTCAAAAATATGCGCAGAAGGTGCTTTTTCAAGAGCCCGACCTCCTTGCCCCGGACCCTCGTTCTTTGCTTGCCCCTCCATTCCTTTCATCCAGATTGTCTGCTGCCTGACAAGATGGTGCCAAGTTAGACGCTATGCTTTGTCTCCTTCCCTTCTGGCTCTCGCCATGGAGCCCTCAGCCTCCTGGGGCAGTGGCCGTGCTCCAGGGCACTCCAGTCCTGCATCAGAACCCACTTGTCTCTCTGGCGATCCATCTCAGTGTGCGTGCTCCTGTTGAGGAAGCACCTCTGCACTTCTGGGCCCACCCCAGAGCCCAGAGAACACACTTTCAATGAGCCTTTTGTCTGCCTACAGCTGAGCTTCCTGGGCCCTGCCCAGCGCTGTACTTTCCATGGCCCTGACCATCTTCCCTTTTTAAGATGGTGCCTGAAGGTGGGTCAGGGGCAGGTGTCCTTTTGGGGAGGAATCTTTGCCCAGAATTCATCCAGTTATTTCCAGGGCAGTCCCTTGGCCTCTTTTGTCCTTGTGGCAAACCTAGAGGGTTTGGGCCCCTAGAGTGTGTCTAGAGCAGGCAGGAACTTGAGATTGTGGCCTATGAGGATGTGGGCTAGGGTAGAGGTGGCTATCCCACAGAGAAGGGCCTTTGAAGGGCTTCAGCCCCAAACTGGCTGGCAACTTGGTGGCTATATGATAGAGGGGATTCTTGGTCAGTGCAGTGGCTGACGGATTCATTGATTCAGAAGGAACTGGGTGCAAATCCCTCCATTGTCA